CTCCCCTCCCCCTCCCCCTCCAACCCTCCCTCCCTACCTCCCTACCTCCCTCCCTCTCTTATCTTCTTCAATCCTCATCGTGATATGCTCAATACACTTTGACCTTTACAGATCGTGTGTTCTGCTTTTAGAACTGTTGTTCGCCGTTGTCAACTGCCAGCCGTCCGTTGCTCTTCCACAATTTACTACTTTCAAAAGATCTGGTGGTGGGACCACTCCTCACTTTGCTTTTAGTCTTATTGGTTAGCACAAGCTGTAGTTCTCAATTGGTATATTATGTGTTATGATTTTGAAAAGCAAGCAGGATGAAACGAGCTAATTTGATTTCTACTTAACAACGTCCCATGAATATTACTCTCTATCTGCTGACATCGAAAGTTCATGTACAACAATGAGTAGGTGCATCGGCAAGGAGAAGGATGATGAATTCTATTTTTATCGGCCCAGTTACTGTTAGCACAAGCTGAGAAAGAAAATGCGTTAAAATCGAATTACTATGGGAATGCAGGAAGCATACTATACGTTTCTTAATATATCCCCATTGTCAGAGATGTCTGCTGGAAAGCGATTACTTAAATGGACATTAGAATTGTTATGCCAATAATGTTGTGTGAGGGAGAGCCCTCTCTGATCTCGTCTTCCACCCCATTCCAAGTGTGCGAGCACCAAGAAAGTCTTCTTCCTGATTAGAGTTCAATCTGGTGGCTACTACAATCATGTATGTCGAGAGTGCGCTGTTGTTTTGCCCACTAGTAGAAAAATGCATCCTTGATTCCGCGTGTTTACGGCCCTGTAGCACAAAGAAGGGATGGTCGTTAGGATTTGATCTGTTCAGCTGGAATATTTTGCTATACTTTGACAAATTCGAAATAAATTCGAATATAACCCTCCACATTTTAAACTCAACATATGGAACAGACTTTCATTTACTTGTTTTGAATCCAATTCTTTAACCACGCCTCTCAAAAAACGACAAGCGCATCCGGTTTCATGACAAAAATCAGCTAACGTGCATTTCTTCTCCCCTTGGTTAATATTGTATTGGGAGCACAATGAGCCTTATCCAAATCGTAGCTCACATAGATGTCTGATGACCACGAATTCAATACTATCAAATTCAAAGAATTTGCCAAGGCGTTGAGCATCTTTGTAATGCTTGTATCTCACTCTCAATCCCACGAGATGTTTTTGTCAAATATCATCACGAGACCGGAAAGGTCTCAGCAATGGCAACATTCTATAATTGTGTCGAAAGTATTCACTTGTGTAAACAGATATAACCACCTATCTCCACAAAGTGGTTTGTTTATCACGAATCTAGATATATATGTACATATATATGCAGAATACATGGAGAGATAATGGTTCGAGAAATTACAATGCTACTGATTTTTCTCCTTATTCTCGCCTTCCAATTTGACCTTTTCGAAGCAGAATACCACAACGCACCGAGTAAGTCTCTCCGTGATACTCAAAAAGTGTATTTCAGTGAGTAAATCGATCAACACTATAATTTATTCTTGTAAATCATGTAGTTGTTACTTAGTACCTGAGTGGTTAGTAAGCACCTGAATGTCGAACACTGCCTTAGACACTTATTATTGGATTCAGTAAATAAGGAAATGGAAATTCTACGCTCAAATGGATAAATCTACTCAAGAACTTCAGATGAATCACAGAATTACCAATAATATTGTGCTGACCGGAAGTCCGCGAACATAAGAGATGTCTTTTCTCTACTAATGAGTTTGAAAATGTTAGCTTTTAAGGGGGTTTCAATTACTTCTGTTTTTTATAAATTCTTATCCAAATAACGTTTCTTTCTTCCCAAAATACCTATTCGAAATGGCTTCAATGCTCCAATCAATATTGCAGTTTACAAATTTCATAATGCTCAGCTGATAACCTTAGAACCCTCTCACTCCTCAAACACAAGAAAGAAGAAGGGAAAGAGCATGTTTCTCGGTCAAAGTAAATTTGTTTAAAAGGAATTGCAAGTTTGGTAAATGGTAAGTTGCTCATTCAGTCAACGATTTCAACGATTATCTAGCCTCTCCAAATGCAATAACAGAAATTAAAAAATCGATAATCCCATGCATGAGAGATGAATCTTAAGGCTAACAAAGTCTAATTATGGAACCCCAATCTAAGCCAGTACCCCATCCACGTTGTTTCGTTTTTCATTTTCCTCACATTGGCGTTAATGTCAGAATTAGAAAATTGGTCTTTTTATTAAACTTGTGCCTTTATCAACTCCAATTTCGTCTGTGATAGTTATTAATTCAATCCCGATACATCTGACTTTGCTCAACTTTTGAATATACGTAAAAGTTCCCAATTAGAAACTTGAAATGATTTCCAGTTTTATTAACTGATATCATAAAATCATGTTCCAGGGACTAATTAAAAGCGATTTTTAATTCTAAGTGTCTATGATCAAATTAGAAATAGTTTTCCCAATAAAGATGAATTATGGAACTAAATGTGGTTATAAACACAGGTGTTTTGAATGAACAACAGGAAAGTCAGAGGGGTGAAGTTTACCGGTTACACTTATGAGATTTCGGCAGTGTTATTAACACCGCATACTTTCAAATTTAACCTAGTTTCCAAAAAACATGCAGCTTAGTGTTTTGACATAGTAAATAAGACACCAACTGATTCAAATGATTAAGGACAGATTAGGGTCAAGTGGAAATACTTTCCAACTTCACTTTATTGAACTCAAGTTATTACTCTGTCTTTCACGGTCTAGGTATTCGGACACTAGTGATCAATTGCAAAACATAGAAATTAGCCCACGAAACACTGAGTTCTGCTCAAGTAACCCAAACACATTCGATTCGCCATCCTACCAGTGATACCGAGCACAAGTATATTCAGTTTATATTTGGTATACACTCACATGCCTATTTATAAAGATAGTGCGACGTTGACTCATCGGTCATCGTGCGAGGTGGAGGACACCAGTTGAATGGAATGCCCAGTCACGCTCCCACCTTGCAAACTCCTCCATCCCACTCCATGCCCAAAACTGGCATTGAAAATGCTCTCTTATTTTGTCTTGTTAATTATTATCATAAGTTTGCATACATCACATAATTAGGACAAGCGGGTGCTTAGATTCCTAGGAGAGGAAGTAATTTAAGGAAAGGTGAGGGTGAATTGGTAAATGAATTTTGGAAAATAGTTTTTCTCTCTTTTCTACTTGAAGAATATATGCAATCGTTTTCACTGAATCCCATTTTATTTCCAGAGGTGCCATTCTAGAGTGCGACATTTAAATCCTCCTTTTCTTTACTAAGACTGAAAATAACCGATTACCTGCTGATCTCTGCACCTGAAAACAAAAGTAATTCAAAGTCTGTCACCTCCACTAAATGTTGGCTGAGGATTTTTTTGGAGAAAATAGTTAGATTTCCCTTTTACATTTCATGTGTCGAAGGAGAACTTTAAGTCTATTGTTCATAGTCACCCTAAGCACTATAGGACGAGCTTTGTTTTAAATTCGACTGGTAATTTTGACCCTTACAAGTTCCACAATAATTTTGCATGACTCTTTGAAACTTGGATAATTTTTATATTTTTCGACGGCAATCTTCAAACTCTAGACTTTTCCCCCATAAGGTTACTCTTTTAGAAACTAGCATGGAAACAAATGTCTTTTGAAAGATATCATCTATCTAAAACTGCTCACATAAGCTAGTTGCCGCCCATTGTTTGTAGACTTCTGGTCTATTCGAAAGCACGTAAGAAAAGATTTCTACTCACAAGCACACTTTTGACAAAATAGAGTTGCTTTCTTTTTTGTGCGAAATTCATTACCGTTAGGCTTCACCGTTCGAGAGACGAGATTCGACCGCTAGCACAAATTCTCGCAATGACGACTTCGTTTTCGTTTCTCTTCATACTTCCTGAGCATATGATAAATCTTTTAGCCATTAAGCTATGTACCTCCCCCCCTCTCCCCGCCCTCCACATATGGCCAACACTATTCACTAATTACTTGCAATATTATATTCAAATATCAATAACTGGAGTAACATTTTGGGGATAATAGCATCAAATCCATAATTTCTACCTAACTCCGGTAAAGAATTTTGCCTATTTGCTGTGAAATTTCTATGCCTTGAGATAATTTTTGGGCATTCAATTAAGTTGTGAGTAGCCATAGAAGCAATTGGGCCAAAATTATAATAAAATGCAAATCCTTATCAACGCCTCCTTTTCACTTGTCATATTATATATCCTACAGTTGAGAAAGGTAATAGTTAGCCATCATTTCTTATTATTTTCTAATTTAAAGCTGTTTCCTGTAATAATTTCATGAATTATTGAACAACTTCCTTTAGTTACTCAGTACAGTGTGTGTAGATGTGAGAGTTTTAGTGAGTAAAAGTTAATACATGATGTACTACTCCAAATACCGTAACTGCCGAAGGGTAGCTAATTTCCATTAAACCTTAGCTATAGTGGTGAATAGTAAGTTGTATAAGCAGACATTCAGCGCGATTCCGAGTTATGCGATGAGGTTTCTCAGGTGGTTATGCTTGCAAGAACTACGAAATCTATTCCTCTCTTGCCCAGCATCACCCTTCGAACACTATTCTTTTATCATCAGCTTTGAGAGAGAGAGAGAGAAAGTAGACAGACGGTTTAGGTGAACCAGTTTTGCATTTTAGTAAAAACTTTCCTTCTCTTCATCTTCATCTCTGCGCACGTGCCTTCTCTTCATCGATTTCCATGAATTGCTTGGCACCATACCAAACTCATCTATTAGTCATATTGTTTAATAACTTGCAGAGTGTGACGTTAAGAACTGTCGCGACGCCTACGCTGACTGTTACAAATTCGCGCAAATTAATTGCTGTGTTTGTCCTCCTGGATTTTATGGAGGCGGTGGGGAAAGGTGCACCTCGAAACGTAAGACTAGTGTAAATTTTACTGTTGATTACCAATGATGTTGTATGTATTCAGGGTCCACCAAAAGGTTCATACGAATGAAAGGAATAATGTCTGTAAAACTCACCGGTGAAAACTATGAGCATGGTTTCCCCATCTCACACGAGACCATCACAATTCCAGGACCGCCACTGGGACAGGTGACAGTTCGAGATGTTCCTTCGACGGGAGTCGTGCACAATACAATTCGTCTTCTAACACCACTTTTTCACATCATCAACAGTATCACAAGTTTCCCCAAAGAAAATTCAAGAATCTACAATATTTTCTCGCTTACCGGAGGCTTTTCAACCATGGCCCACTTCCAATTCACTCTTAGGTATGAAGGAATCGGTCCTCTTATTGCCAACGTTCACTTTCTACGCAATATATCGGATTCCGATTATTATGAAGGAAAAATGGATATCGAAATTATAAACGAAGGACTCTTTAAGGCACCCAGTGAAGTGTATATGGAGAAAGCATTTGGAGACGGCATGGTAAATTATTCGAAAATCGCTACAGGAGTGCTACGATTTGAACGGCAGCAGATCCAATTCACTACCATGCAGAAGAATTCTTCAAGGACTCTTCGTGGAAGCATTGTTGGAACGGTTCGTGTCCCAGTGGATGGAACTTCCTGCCTTCTAGAGAGTACTTCTCTTGTAGAAGAAAGCCTAGACGGATTCCGAGTTCGTTTTGGAGACAAGGGATTCTGCAACACTGCTTGTCCTTATAGCAGCGGTTTCTGCACCATCTACTGCCTTGACTACCCAGTTCTTGAGTCCAAAAGAAGATGTAAGTCACAGACATTCTAGTATTCTAACAAAATCATCATTGGTGACGAATTAGTGCTATCTTTAAAGTATGTCTTCGATAGCTCATTTCCTATGCACGGTGTCGGCAACTGAAAGAGCTTCAGTTATAAGAACTTTATTAATCGTAGCTTACCAGCCTAGACAACGAATTAGAAATGTCATACTTGCACGCGATGATCATATCTCAATGATTTAGTTAAAAAGAGATATATACTTAAGGCAACGCAACGATTTTCCAAAGCACTAATGAAATAATGTGCGTCAGCATTTTTCAAGTGTCAGTCATAATTAAAACATTTGCAAAAGCTGGAGTAATCTCAATATCAGCGTTCCCTCATCGCATATTATCAAGTTAGCGAATAAATGGAAAGATAAAAGTTGACTCTGTAAGGTAGGTCGGTTACTCACGAGGATTATGTCAACCACATGATCTCTCTATTAAATGTGCAATATAAAAATAGGTATCATGGACTGTGAAGTTCCGATCCTTGTCCCTTTGTTCTTAAGACAATTTCACCTACTATTGATTTGTCTCTATTTAGTTAACCAATTCGTTTTCGCCTGTAGAAAGCTACAAATTTAAGGAATTAGCGCTTTCGTGTTTGTGTGCGTAATGTTCTAGAAGTTCAGCACATAAATACTTGTATTGCATATATAAATGTACTATGAAGAGAGCTTCTAAGAGAAATAAGAATTGATTAGTGAGAATCGCCCGTGCAACGAATTTCCTCTCATGTAACTTGATACCAATCTCGTATGCGCAGTAGGCACCACGCAAAAAAGGATGGACTTACGTTCAGTAACCTCTATGACAGGTCTTCCTAGTTTGGAATGGTCCCCAGTAGTAGCTAAGCTACCACAAAACTATGGAGGAAACTGATGAATGCCGCGGAATAGGTTTATTTGGACTGTGTGTCATTGACACAGGTTATGGTCATTATAATACAATGGGGGTTTGCAAAGGTGTAGGGACTATTGATTGGTAGCTGGCTGAAAGGTCTCTGCGCCCACGACCGCACTTTCGAGTCTGTCTGAGTGTGCATACTACTTCTTCATTCAGCTACGACAGCGTTATGCCCTCCACAACCTTAACGCTCTTCAAGGAATTTAGGAATTTTGCAGATCAATCCAACTAGCCACTGGAAAAATGCTCTTGTATAAAATGCTTACAAAAATTAGCTAGCTACGGCCACCGTAGCGAGAATACAGAACACGAAGGGTGAATAGCGTAATTACAGTTATGGCCAACTGCTACAGACCATTAGCCCTTAACCGCAATTGGCGCTACTCCACTTCACAACGCCTACTGATTGTGAAGTGGCTGAGAGTCTCTGCATTTGTGACGCACTTAACTGTTGCGCGCGATAGATAGCTAAGTTCACCTTCGAGACCGTTTGAGCGTGCATGAGATTCTTGTGGTCAGCCTTTCCAGCTCATGAGCTGTCATTGGCGTAATTGGGTAATTCTCAAATTATTGACCATTATGTACCCCCGATTTAACATTTTTACAGAGAAATCAACAAAAACTCCAAATTTTGCTTTCAATATTTTTTTGAATACATACACATTCCCAATCATTGGGATATACTTTGTTTGGTTAATTAGTACTTTTCTGATTTATAGTGTACGCTGAACCTGAAGGATTTAGAATACCGCGGTTTACTGAAGAAGAGGTAGCAGAGGAACAGGAAAACGAAAGCGATTTAAGTCTCAGTATGTTCATTGTATATGTTATTTAAAAGTGTGACATACTCTCATGTTGTTTTTAAAGAGGTGGTAGTGATAGGTAGAAACGAACAGAAATTTCAACATATTTGTAAAAGTGTATCCAACGCTCACTATTTGTGCTGCTAATGCGAATTACAGGATTCATCATTACTTCAAAACGATCTCATCTGTTCCTGCTGTTGTTTGTTGGATTGGAGACCACGTTGGCATTCAAAATACTCTGATTTCCTTTTCAAACGCCAAAATCACAAACCAGTTCTAATTCTCTTGATCATAAAGAAGCCATACGTCAAAACCCGCTTAAGTTAGAACGACTGGTGCCTACCCCAATTTCAAAGATATACAGATATAAAGCCTCTATGAAAGAGGAGATCTGGGTGTTAAAGTTGGTTAGTGGGAGTTGGAGATAAAACCTGAGGTGAGACCACCTATTGACATGCCGATGGAAACGGCTGATTAAGTTATTTAAGAGACAGTGAAGAATTCCACTGAGCATGCAGAGAAGAAGCAAAGTGATTAAGCTATGTAGGGATTTGGGGGAGGGGTTGGGAGAGTGGTGTCTAAAGTTCGCTTGAACCCTCACAGTTCCGCAGATTGACAACGATTTGGAGTATAACAAGACATATTCAACAACATTAACTCAGGTTAATTAGTAACAGCCAATCAGCAGTTTATAAAGAATGGCATTATTTAAGTCACACTATGGCTGATAAATTCATTTTTCCATCTGGGAGGCATTGCAGACAACTGCTTCAAATTAATGCTCATCCATGCAATTAATGCCTTCTTTCATGTCAATACATTTTGAATCGAATTTAAAGCAGAAATGGTAGCTAATAAAGCCCACAGGGAATTGAATAATTTTCGTTTAAATAATGAATATTTTTTATTTTAGAACAGGAACACTCTTCCATGAGAAGAAAACTCTAGGAACTGCCTTTAAACTTTCCTATATACTCGATAAAATATGCCAAGATACAATCCAAATTTGCACTTGTAATGATTGCTTTATCATCCTAAGCCGATTCTAAATTTCAAGGGACAGGAAGCTCATTTTGCAGCAGAATTCAATAAAAATAACGGCGAAAACCAGACTTCTTTACATGGACTGTACTCCTCCGAGTTTACCCAATTGTTGGCATCAGTTTTCATGTAGGCCAAAAAAACTATTGCCAAAACTAAAATCAACAACTATTTCAAGAAAATTAGGTTTAATGCTAGTTCCATGCGTCTAGAAGTTAAATTACAAAAGACAAGTGGATGATTTGCATCAACAGTTTGCATTCTTCCACACAACCAAAATTCAGCAGACCCCAATCAGATTGATTTGCCATGAAAAATTTTACATTCATTTCTCGAACAACACAACAGATGGGGCAGTGAATTAAATCTTCCTAAACCAAGGCATCACCAGTCGGTTTCAACGCTTTACGAATCAAGGTTTTGCATGAACTTCTTAAGATCAAATTTGTGCACAAGCCACCATCCAATTACAACCTTCCTTTCATACCAGTAATCAACAAGGTCAAATACAGCCTAAAGTTAGAACTTCTGTCTTCATAGTCTGAATTGTCTAAACAGAGAGAATTGGAAGGGGCAGTAGGCCTTTCGCTTCAGTATTTCCCATGTTTGTGCACTTTCTTTGCGTAGGGACTATATAACTATATAACTATATAACAAGATCTAGGGTCGAGAATTCCCATGCAAACCATGTCCATGGTCATTTAGCAGGACAATGCCAATGCCGCATTAACGTTTTAGACACCAAGAAAGTCGATCCAAACACGAATACGCACATTTGATGACAAAGAAATTGTTAGGAACACGGCCTAACGATATCACATTCGAATACGAGAGAATAGGCATGACAAAGTGATCAAGAATTTACCCAACACATTCACTCAGGTTTTGGGCCTAATTTAGCAATCATCACAAAATTATAATATAACTCAAATGCATCCTTTTCAAGGCAAAATCCAGATTGCAACTACAGAAATTCTACTAAGCCCTCGTCCTCGCGAGCTTTGCAAGTTTATCAGAGCAAAAGTATCAGGAGACAGGCAAAGAGGTTTGGAGATTATTTGTATTAAAAGCAAATACAGGATTCCAGGCAATTAAGTCGTAAGCAGAGTAAGGTCTCGGTCAAACGTGGGTGTCAGGTAATGTGAGAAAATCGGTAAAAGGCTTACTGACAGAAGGATGAGTTCTTCACAAATCGAAGCGAAGGAAGTGAGAAACAGAATTGTGTCGAAAAACGAAATAAAAAAACATTTAAAGTATGTAGAAAAAGAATAAACCCGCTCTTCTCCACTGATTAGAATTTGCTTAAAAAACGCAAAAATCCAAGTGAGAGAAATGAATATCACGAGCACCGCGTCGAGACCGACAGTAGGATTGTGCTCTCAGGGACACTCTAAACGTGGAATGCTTATCGGTGGATTCCTCTTTGCTGTTAGTAGACATTTCGAAATCGCCAAGCTAGCCTAACCCAAGACTTCTTTTGAGTCCTTAAGTTGTATGAAGAACTAGGGTGAAAACTCATACAAGGCTCACACGACTGATACGAAGAAGCCCATGGTTTGCTTAAAGACCAATCATATCTATTTCCGTCACTAAAGATGCAATTATCAACCTCAAGAGAATTCGATCGAAAGCAGGAAACTTCGGAGATGTCAAATGTATACGAATATTTGATGAATAGTAGACAATGCTCTCATTTGATCTTTGAAACCCTTGTTACTAAGGCAAAGCCATCGATCAAGGCTCAGTGCGCCTGACTACCGACTGCTTTATGCCTTATTAAGAATAAGGATGTTTGCACTACTCCCGCCGAATCATCACTTCACAACCTCCTCACCTCTTACCCACTGTTGAGCCCACTTTCAATGACAGCCTCTTCAGAAGATCGTTTGGAAGGTGGCAGTACACTTTCGTCGGGCTGAGAGGAAGATAATTAATTTTCCTAATCAAATGAATCACACTACTCCGCCTTTCCTCCCCAACCATGTCCCCACTGTTGCAACTATGCATCCGCTTATCCCAATACGAACCTTTTAGATAAGCGCATATTTGGCAACACATCTATCCTTCAGGCATAAATATTAAGGCGAAAATAGCATGAACAACCAAGACTCGAATGAACACTTACTTCTAGAAAATTCAAATAAATACCTTTCCACAAACTATAAAAATGCTTCATATCTGTTGAAACATTACGTACAAAATGCCTCTCCTGTATTATTCGCTAAAAAAGTACACGTCAAAAGGGTTTTGATATGAACATGCGTTAGGCAATTTGTGAAAATAGAGGATAGAGGTTTATTTCAACGAATCTTGCAAGTAAATGTACTGGATTTGAGGGGATCATAACCGAAGATGTGTATGAAATTGGTTATACAAAGGCTCCGCATTTTATAATGACTAGACTTCATGGATAGACCACTTTTACATAGGAGACATTTGAATCGCGTTACTGTGGATATCTACCAGGAGAGATGAAAATGCATTTTAGGCGTTATCTTGCGGGAAAAATAATATAAATCACTGTCACTCACTCGATAGGGTTCATGTTCGGAGATCTGTTGGCTGAGCATATTCATAGCAAGGTCTTCACAGTTCATCAGCTCATTCACAGTTGAGTAAATCTCATGAGGCAGTTCAAACGTATAGGCGTAGAGGTAGTACTGAAATGGTGAAAAAAGTAGCACTGAAACATGCACAACAGACTATTCAATAGGTCGCGGAAATGCACACTAACCTTATGGAAAAATGAGGCACCCGTAAGAATTAGGGAATATGGGCCATTGGGGTTTTGCCTGTAGTGAAATTGTCCTTTCCAATTTAACCAATCATGTCCTCGGGCCACAAAACCGACTATTCTGTCTCGATTCTCTAGCCATACCCTTGAAAATGAAAACAGAGAAATCAATCACGTTAATATGAAGACGAAATGGATTAAATGGTAGTGCAGGTTCCAAAACTCTATTAATCTCACAAAGATTGGACCCGATAACCTCATGTGTCTATGCACTGAAGTAGGGCTGAAATACACTAGGGGCAATGCTTATAATATCGGAAAAAACTCTTCAAACCACACTCCTCCCACTAGATCTCACTGTGCTAACAAAGTCTCCAATCGACTGAACAAGCAGTGAAGAAAACGGACTACAAAACTCCCAAGATGCCTCCAAACACGATGCAGATGATAAGACTTGCGGATGGTCCCCTGCCTGCATTCCGATCTTAATCCTTTGAAGGCATCTACAGCCGGAAGTACACCAGACTTCTGCATTCTTCTTGACTTGAGCCAGCAATATTCATAGCAGTACTTTGAAGGTCACGAAATAATATCACCGAAGCTATCATCTATCTGCCTTTTCATGCACTTTAGGCTGAATTTTGCACCTCGATATATTTTTGACTGCTAAATAATCTCACTCGATCTTTTACAATTGCAAACTATAGTTCAAATGTACTACCGTCATCTTCACTTCTAAGATGATAGTCAGCATTTTATGCCTAAACTTTAGAATGTAGATTTAGACTAAATGTGTGATTGAAATTCATCGCCCAGAAAATACATTTACCTATCATTATATACCCTTTTCAATAAAGTCTACAGTTAATTCGGAGCACTTCGATCTTTCGGAAAGAATTGGAGCGCTATTTCAGACTGGAAAAACATCGTTACCACTTACTTACTTAGCACACTTCGTTGAATCTATCAATACGCATAGTCCATTAAATCAAACATTTCAACAAAAGTACTATAAATCTTTCTACCTAACACTCACAGAGAAAAGGGATTGAGATTTCTGACTTATCAACTCTTTCCTCTTATAAACCTCATGTCTGCAAGAACTTCTGGGCTCGCTCCAGCAAGTCTTTTTGCACTCGACTGTCTTTTCGCATTCCCAAACTTTCATCACCAATTCACACTTGTATGATAGTGAAAGAAGTTATAAGCTCGCGAATTGACCCAAATCAAAAGGTTATTTCCCACTCCACTCCCATCTCTTTGAGCTTGCAAAACCGTTAGTTGCTTATGTTGCGATCGGCAGCTGGTAGGACTCCTTCTCTATTCCACACAAACACACATATTGAACATTATGCTTAGTAAATATCTGGTAGAAAGGAGGGACCAATTATTGTCATATCACTACATCATCAAGTGAACTTGGGTGATGGCTTCCGATGAGCGTATTTAGAACCGCTATATGACTTTTCACCAATGCAAATTACCTCTCCCTTTACTGTGGAGCCACACGCACTGTATATTAGAGTTAACAAGAAAAGTCAACCTTTAAATAGAAACTTGCGCTTCATCCAAATTACCTCCGCTCTGAGCTTTGACACTCAGTTCAGTTAAAACAAATATTACCTAAAGCCAGTTTCCAAAGCTTTGGGATCAGGAATGACTTCATCATCAACCGTCAAAACACAGTCCGTTTTGATGAGATCGAATGGCAAAAACCGATTTTGCAGTTTGTTTACAGGCGTCCGAACAACCTGCAATGAGAATGACATATCGACTAGGATCTGACTTGATATATGAGACTAAGCAGTCAACTTAAAGTGAAGGCAAATACATTTTCCAAGAAAAGTTCTTATGCAATTTGGAAAAGGTCCAAGTAACAAATCTGATTGTTCTGCTGCTATGTTTGAAGGATGGATCACTATGCGCTTCCTGAATTTTAATCTAAATCACTACTAATTTCTTGTGCCAAATTACCTCGACCATACAGTTGCACTTGAAGTGGTTGACCCAGCAGTGACCTCAAGTTCTCCTTACAAAACCATCCCGTGAACCCAAGTGATTTATTTTAATTAGCACACCAAAGCACTTTGGTGGTCCTTGAGTGAGCCTTTATGGTATTCACTTTCCCCAATCATCCCCACTCGCTCCACACTCGCCCCATTTATTTATGCAGCTCCTTCCCTCTAAAACTATAACCGAAAATTCTGATTTAAAGGGGAAAGAAGGAGGAGGAGGAGGAGCGGTAGGAAGGCGAAACAAGGAGGCCAATCTCCATTGACCAATCACAACCTGGACAAACTCAATACCAAGTGTGTAAACAGGGTATGAATTATATTAATAATAGATTCACAGTTACTTAGCAAGTCTATCTTATTTCACCTCTATCTTCTCCGGCCTGAGCAAGTCAAATAAGCCTCAACACCACAACCTTTGGCGAGCCAGTACAAGGAATACAGGGCAGCCACCAACAATAGCAATCTAAAGCACACCACACAGTTCAACATTGGCCATCTCTTTCAATCAATCACATCCCCATCGCAAGCACCAGCTGACTCCTTGACCGGCTAATTCACCCACCAGCATTTTTATTGTGCTTTCAATGCCAATTTGCATAGAAATGCTCGTTCTAAAAATCTCTCAGTTAATTCAATTTGACCTGACTGTAAACACCAGTCTGAGCATATCAAGTGATCTACAGATTTCAAAAAATTATTCCCTTTAATGATTTTAATACGGCAAGTTATTCCCATTGTCGTCCAATTTTCTTCGTTGATAAGAACTTTAGCTAACTATCCTGATCAAGTGGACTAAATACACATGTTTCGATTGCGAACCACAGGGTCTTGCATTTTCTTGAAAATCAGCTTAAAATGCAGCGTACTCACATGAATCGGAACCTTTAGTTTGGGCCATTGGTACAACTCCGGTTTGAGAACTTGATGATTCCAGACGACAATAATTGATTCTAGCAAGTGTTCGATTCTGTCAAACATAAGAAGGTTCTTCAGGAAAATTGATATCCGGTCGTAAGTCAAAATGATTACTGAAAAGGTGAAATAAGACAATCAAGTATGACTTCCGAATTCGAGAAATCCTATTATGTGATGTCATGTTATCACAATTCTAGACAGCAAGCTTTTAATTACCATCGTAAAGTTGCAACTGGGACAATACGATGCTGTGTGCTCAAAATAAGACATTTTCACGCTAGGATTTTCTCGGGTTCTATACTGAATGTATTTACTCCATTTGATCAACAAAATAGCCAATAAGCTATATCAACTTCACCAAGTCTGGATCCCATGTTGCTTCTTGCCCCCCCCCCCACCCTCTCTCCAAGCGACCACTGCTCCTTTTGTAATTGGTATTCATTCCTTATGCTCTTACTAATATTTCATTTGAGAGAGCAATTACATGGGGCTTGGGCTGAAGAACATCATTTGACTACCGCTAAATGCAAGTGCTATCTGATAGCAACCTGTCGCTCTGTCGCTATTATGATCCCATAAATCGGAACAGCACATTTATTTCATTATCTTTTATTTATATTTTAGTACTTTTAACTACCGGTAGCTAAACCACGAATGCTGGGTGATTTTGACATCCTACACTCAAATGACATTTGCTCACATTTTGACAATCTCGAGTATTCTTAAAGACACTTCAAATCATTATGCCCTAATCAACAATTGTTGGCATCTAAATGAGGCAACTAACAATCACGACTAGCTCAAATTAGGAGCACCATTTTTGGTACGAAATAGAAACAGGCAAAAATAACAGTTAAGAGTAAATTGTGCTTACCGGTGAATTTCTTCGAGCACCCCGAAGTAACTAGTTGGCAAAGAATAAAGTCAATTAAGGCTCATTTAAATAACTTTGTCGATCAAAATTTAAAGTGGAGCGAACTGAAATAAAGATAAATCTCATAGTCAAGGAATTGCAATCACCAGTTTGCAAATAACAGATCCTACTTAAACCATAAAAGAAACTGAGGTCCTAGTATGTCAAATATAATCCAGTAAAAGTACTGATTACTATAGTAAATGGAACCGGAGTGGATGAGGAACAATGGGGGGTCGCAAAGGCACATTCTTTGTCGGATCTTTGGGGCCTGTTGTGTTGTTCCCAATACATTATGATACTTTCTCTCTCTCTCGCTCCCTCCCCCTGCGTATGCGTGCGTGTTCTGTGGTTTCTCTCGAAGCTTAGCTCGAGCTGACTGTTGAGAAGAGAACTGCTATGAACCCTCCAGAAGAAATACACGTTTTGTGGTGTATTGATGGGTATATGTCACATCCGCCTCTATCTTGCTCGACACCAATCTGCACAAGTCTTTGAATTAGGCCTTGTGTCTACATCTCATCGTTGCACTTATAATGGGCCTAACTATCTCATTCGTGTAGCTGATATGCTTCTTAAAAGTTTTCCTTAGTAGATATGGCTTTAGCCGGAATATCGGATTACAGGATATCTCCTAGGATTCCTATAGGCTTATTTGGTTCAAAGGCGCAAGCTGCTAAGTGCCCAGAAATGCCCTACAAAGCCATGATGAATCACAAATCACAGTAATCACACAAACGATTGCGACCAATAGATTCAACTAAAGCCACAGTTCAGTTATCCATGAACAAACAAACATCCGCGATGAAAATCTGACTATTTTAATCAGTTCAGGAAGTTAGAGGATATATGCTGTGAAAGCTGATATTAGTTACAAATAATTCCCTTAAACCTTGACATCGTCACAAATTTGAAAGTACCACTCACTTTTATCACAGGAGGTCCAAGGAGTAGAGTCGAATACCCATAGGGGACCCTCAAAATCGGCTCTTGGTTGCGCATTGCAAATGGGAACAACTTCGCCCAATGCGTCGCTAGATACCAACTTTCTGTCGTTGGAGATGGCATTCAACTCATAAATTGGTATGTAACTTCCTGGAATTTCGGCAGTGAACCGGGTTCGAATCACAGGAGAAGTGGGCTGAGGTAGAAAAAGGACTCTGTTCAATTGAGCCACGGCTGTCTCAACCTGTTTGCCTACCGTTCTTAAGTGCCGATTGAAGAGTTTTGCACCCTGAAATACAAACAATTCTTATTGGAATCTGATTAGCCATAGAGTCATCCATATTGTAAACTGAATCAAAATTAATGAGCCTCTCACGTGTTTCACGCTGAACTACACGTTTACTCATCTGAACCGATCTCCTTGTGGTAATGTGGTGAGTCTTGCCAACCAGATATTCCTGAATCACTGCGATATTAACAAGTCAATTTATAATAGATCATACCATGGATGCGAATTGGACAAATGATGTATAACTTTCAGGTTCTAGTACATTGTTTTGAAAGAAATGCGAAACTTTGTGATTGGATTCTTATAAAACGTCCCACTCTAACGTCATATTCTTAGAAGCATATTAGACTTAATTTTGAAAGGATCATAAGAAAGCTTACATCTTATCGTAAATTTGCTTGCGTTCCAAACTCCTCTTTGCAGACTTGTTTTGTTTGATAAGAACTTTCTTTAAGCTATCATAGTTCAAATGCGTTCGATTAGTGATTAGCACTACCCTTCATCGAGTTAGTTCTTCTGTTGGGTCAATTAATGACTTAAACATTCAGAGAAGAAGCGAAATAAACTAATTGAAGGTCCCTAACCATGTTGAATACTAGGAAGGCAATGGGAGAATGAAACAATATCATCAAACTGGCCTCGAAGCTGCTAAGTGAATGTTCCATTCAAGGTAAAAAACTCAAACCCCACAGCCATGTCAACATCCGGTTGTAATTTATTTCCCGTTAACGTAGAAGAGAAAACCTTACGACAATGATAAACTTAAACTACATCATTATTTTAAAATATGATTCAAGCTCACTTTATTGAGTCGGCGAATTCTCTCTTCTAGGTTTATATTCCTCAACTTCCTCAAGAAGTCGACTTGATTTGTATGGAAAGACTGGAAGACAACAGCTTCAGTCCAAAGTGGTTGCAAGAGGTAGAAGAAAGGAAGATAGACTTCTGCGATTACTGCATCGAATTCCGTGGGTATAACGGGAATGGAGTGGAACATGAAACATGACCACAATTGAGCATGAATTGACCGAACTGCAGAGCTCGTCAATGAACTCCAATCATCCACCACAACGAGACAGAATGCGGAAATGCGAAGAATCTAAAAACTAAAACCAAGTTCAAATTGTATTCAACATTCATATGCAAAACTTATCTCATTCCTTCCAAACCAATTGAACGAAGAATTAACTAGCATATCATCAGGTACTGGTGGCATTGCAGTGACTTGAATGACTTTTAAGTGAGACAGTATTTCACTGGCAGGTTGATGGATATGCGTTTCTTAATCTGCAACTGCGCTTTAGTACTTATTTCAATGCACAATTGTGACTATTGTTGATGACGTTTCAATTTGCATGATTCCAACTAGCTGAGAGTTCTGACAGCAGTATTCCCTTCAATATGCAAAAATAGTATGCGGTGTAGATATTATCCGTTGTTCTTGTATTAGTACCTAGTCTTGACATGAAAGACATAACGTGTTATAAATTCTAAATTAGCATGAGATATTTCATGCCGATAACCACACTGTCTAATAGCGAGGAAACAAAAGCAATAACACCAATAGAATACTAGCTTGGAGAGTAATAGAGCTATTGCCTTATAGTAAGCGCATTCAATATGCAGACCAGCTAATATGAACACCGTTGGTACAGTGATGTGATAGCACAAATTGTTCACTTCAAGAGATTTAAAATTAAATCTAATGATTGAAGTGACTATTGGCATCACGCCCCTGCGGATCAGCAAGAAAGACCTCGCCATTGAGCTGATACTAAAAGTCTCGCCAGTTCTCCCAGTCATCAGGCACCAAAGTGAGGCCGACAGGGACCATACCCAAAGTCACAGCTAAGGTAAATTGGTCGAGACATCAACGAAGTCCTCAGCTCTATATCGTGTCATCAGGAATATCACTCGTGCCTCCCACGTAGTGGTAAGACTCCAAATGCATTTATCGCACACATTAATGAGCCCCATCCCCTAAGAAAATGTTTCGACCTCTTGTCATTATGCCAAAAAAAACTTAAGTCCCCCCCTCCCCCACACCCTCCCAACTACCATGTCTGGGCGCATTTATCAATTCTCCTTCTGACCTCAATTCATATCTTCACGCAGCCCTTGTCCAAGTGACTAAAAGTCACCACTTTATTTTCACACACACACACACACACACACACACACACACACACACGCGCACACACACACACACACACACACACACACACACATACACACACACACACACACACACACACACACACACACACACGCGCACGCACGCTGCTTTCCCTCTGTTCCAGTATCCCCCCCCCCGGCTCTCCCCTACTCAACCATATGTTAACTGTCGTAATTCAAACGGACTTTGTTCAACAATCAGGTCTTCGCGACCCACTTAACTTGGGACCGTGGCTTTCCACGGTTAGTTACCAGCCTTCCGTCTTAACTACTAAATTGATGTCCTCGGGTCTTGTTTACTCCAACAACACCTTCGAATGCCAACTCCCACTCATACAAAAACCGACATTCACATCAATTGTCCATTCAATAGCCTTTGATGTTAAGCCTCCAGTCCAAATGCTCTTAATAACACTATTGAAAATACAAATTAATGGTCAGATTTCTTCCTACAATAAATGTACTAGGAAGGAATTTTCGACTTTTAAATAAGATTATTCCATTGGTAATCCACTCAATATAAAAATGGAACAGGACGAGTAAAACGGGACATTCTATCCGAAATTCGCTTGAAGTTTCACAATCGTTCGAGCACTGCTTCCGTAATGATCCATCACCACCTTCGAACACGAACATCTAGTTCTGAAACATCCTTGGAGCTTAAAAGTTCAGAGGTCTTTATGGAGAGCTACTTTCCTTGTAAGAACCAAACACATATCCAACCCCATCATATCTTTGACAAGAACTGTAATTGACAGTATTTATATCGATTAGACTTAACACTGTGACTGAACTTAAGCATGATTCTTAATTTCATATTTTGCCATAAGGGGTGTGCGATAGACTTATCTCCACGTGGTGAACCCTGGACAACGTATACTCATACGGCAAAAAGTCTATAAATCGGTAGTTGACTTCTGACCTCAAACTACCATGGCCCGACTGTAATGTTGTGTCATATTCGACCACTTTAATAGCATTCATCTTTCGTTCTTCTCTAACATTGTGTCTGTCCCTTGTACATCTGCGAATCACTCTTCTGTTCCCCCCCCCCCCCCCTCATCTCCACTTTTTATGACTTTATCTATTCCTCCCCTCTGTGAAGCCCGAAGTCAACTGAATGGCTAATGATAACCGTCATAAAGCCTGTCATTTGATATAAGTATTTGTCATAATTCACCCATATTCGAGACCATTACTTCTCGGTGCCAATATTTGCATTTCCACTTAACTAAAACGACATAATTACCTTGTTGTCTGGGTGATCTCAAAACAAATTTTTCTATCCCAAACAGAGCAAACAGAGTACCATTCTTTTCCATTACTTTCCTCCTTACTTCCTTACTTTCCGAAGACCATGCCAATATAAGGCCAGTCTGTTTTGCTACTCATTTCTACACTTATAAGAATGAGTAACTTACTTCTCCAGCATTGAAACATGGTAGAAAGTGGGGCTTTATATCCATTGGAGGTATTCCATTGGGGAAACAGATGATATCATTGGCATTAGTTATTGAAATGCTAGCATCCTTAGAGGTTGAAAGACGTCTTACAATATCAGGAGTTCTGGTAGCAGTTCCATTTCCAATGTAACCTAAATCAGCTCCAAGGAGATGCTTCCGATTGTATGGATCCGAAAGAGTCAAATCGGATAGGAATTTTGGAGCGGGGACAATTAAAGTGGTAGGGTAAATGGGCCAAAAAGGAAAGACCAGTCCGTAAACTGCTGAGGCGAACTCGCCTCGATTCACAGCGAAATCAGGCGAAGCGACAATGATTTTCTTGGAAAGCGCAGAGGAAGTTTCCACAAAACTGAAACAGTAATCATCCCTTCTTTCGGAGAGGTATTGGGAAAGACTTTCGGGAGTCATCGCTAATCGCATTCGGCCTTGAGAACACATGGTAGTCAATCGCGGTAGTAGGCTATAAGCAGTTTCGAAGTGGGCTTGAAATTCTTCCTGAGTTGTACATAATTCCAAAGAATGTCGAATGAGGTAATTCCGAAGATCCATTTGGGCTTCATCTATCACATCAAAGGTGCTTCGACTGAGCCTCAAGGTCGCATCCAAATTGCTCCAACTTGAAGTTTTGAAATGCTGGAAGGAATAGAGAAAGATATTAAGTTATAAGGGCAGGTGCTAACCGCCTATTTTTTAAATAAAGCAGACGCCTAGGTTAGCAACGACTCATGGCCTTTTAGCATTGTTTTTAACTCCTATCCCGAATGTTATATTAATACGGTTTTACTCATCTCTTTAGTGCCTCATAACTCACATTTTCCGAAATCTGCGTTGTAAAAAACTAAGCAAAACCCTAAGCATATTTAGCACTGAAATAGTAAACCAAATTATTTCTTGAAAACTTTATAAAAAAGTCTTACCGAATTAATTCCATCTCGGTGGAGTGTAATTGCTGTATAAGGAATGTCTAAAACAAGAAAAATTTGCACATTTGTTCGATTTTCGGTCCAATGTTCAGACAAGGTGATTAAAGCAAGACTTACCTTCGTCCAACGTAGCTATCCGAATGCCCACTATGATGGATATTACGACAAGAGCGACTAGAAGTATCCGGTTGTGGTGCCACCTAAGCTAAAAAGGACATATCAATAAAAACAACCTCACCATAACTCATAATTTTTATAAAGCGTGATTTTGCCATAGGCATAGTTTAAATAAATATCTTATCGAAGCAAATCACATTTATGATAATGCTGAATAATTGTAAAATGATTGGCACTATAGTTTGTCAAAGCAGAAGGGACAACCAATCAGGTTATGGGAAATTACTTGCGGTTCCGAAGCCGTTCTCAAGGTTACTTGACTTCTTAAGAGTGTGCAAAAGGCGACTCCTCCAGGGTTAGAGCAAACGCCCGTGGGCGGCATGAGGGCAAAATGACTTTGTACGAAAATGTAGCCTTTGACTTACTGAGTGTACACGCGTACTGCCTTTGGCAAGCTAGCTACCTTTGCTATTGGTCGGTTCTTTTACTGCCTTTTCAAAGTAACCAATAAAGTCAGTGTTCCACTTTCGGAGAATCGTTTTGTGGCATAAAATCTCTATCGAAACTCAATTTTAAATTAAATTTGACTAAAGTATAAAGACAGATTTTGTTGTTTGGAGAAAAAAGTAAATGGCAACTAACTTACTTTACGTCTTATGAAATATCTACCACAGATGTTTTAGCATACTTTTGAAATACTGGATTTTAATATGCATGAAACTCACATTTTAAGAGAGCAACTCGTCAATTGAAAGCGGAATAAAGACATCATAGTTGCGATGGAATGCACAAAGACCACTGCACAGTTTCATAACTGATACTAGGTCATATTTGGCTTTTCGCCAGTCATTTCGACTCAACAGGTAAAAAGCCTATTTAACCATTAAGCCAAACAGATGAAACGCTCTTTTGAGTTCTAGTAAAATGCCTCCTAATGTGCCACTCATTGCAAGCACTCCAACAAAATAAACTGCATATCTCGAAAAAGACACACTAAGTTCCATATTTTGACAAAGCAAGACGGTTATTCATAGGCCTGATTAAACACGAATAGGTCAATCGTACGGTGTAAGGATTGTAAAGTGTTCTTTTAAAGTACCTGCGGTGATCTCTAGAACGGATGATCGTCCTCACGTTTGTTTAACGCAATTGAGGACTATCATATGAAAGAAATGAGGCTGTACTCTAGATCTAGGCTTTAGGACTAGACTCTAGTTCATCGCTTTGTCAATTTGGTAATTTGTCATTGAGATGGAGGGTGGGTGAGTAATTGTCAAACTATCTTCATGCATACCAGTAAGTTTCAAAATCGTTCTACCTAATAAGAAGAATACTACCTCACTAAATCCTAGTATTTCATATAGATCGGTTAACAAACAGCAAATGCATTTTAAAATTTTCCATCACACCATTATAACATGATAAGATTTTGATCAACTATTTAATGAAAGAAGGGGCTCAATTTACACTAATTCACGGTAATTACGAGAAGACAGTTGGGAGGATTAGCGAAAAAGCTAGTGTAAGGACTTCAACTTTATGGGCTTGGTGCACTCTCTTTTCAACATTATGGGCTTGGCGCACTAGCCCTCAGAAAATCAAAGTAACGAGTATTCACATGCATATAGCGTCTCTTCGTTTTTCTGAGGATATAGGTGTGTTTATGGCGCACTCCCCACAATTTATATGTCATTCGTCTGTGTGCTTTCACGTGCAGTAAGGTGAATCCTTGATTGATTTTCCAATAACCATTTGAGCACCTGAATATGTTATTGTTGAGTTGTGTCTACTTTGACTTTCTGAGGGATAGTGCACCAAGCCCATAAAGTTGAAGTCCTTCCACTAGCTTTTTCGCTAATCCTCCCAACTGTCTTCTCGTAATTACCGTGAATTAGTGTAAATTGAGCCCCTTCTTCATTAAATAGTTGATCAAAATCTTATCATGTTATAATGGTGTGATGGAAAATTTTAAAATGCATTTGCTTCTCCGAAAGTGGAACACTGACTTTATTGGTTACTTTGA